AAAACCTTTTTTTTTAGTAAAATATTTTTCTATTACTGTATTTTTTATTTTAATATTTTTTTCATATTTTATTTAATATTTTGAGCTTTTTATTCTATTGAGGAGAGAGATTTAAATTAAATATGCATTCATCACTAAAATTTTTCTATTACTGTATTTTTATTTAATATTTTTTCATATTTTATTTAAATATTTTGGACTTTTATTCCTATTGGAGGAGAGAGATTTAAATTAAATATGCACATTCATCACTAAATTTACAAATTACAATATTTTATTAAATATATTTAATTATATAGCATAACATAAATATAATTGTATTTATTATTGTAAAATTATTATTCCAAGGATATTTTAGGAAATAAAAGTAAATGAATTTTCAATTATAAATTTGTTTCATACATGGTTTGTGGAATTCAATTGAATTACATATTTTGAACTAACCATATCAAACATGAATAATTCATTCACAAATGAATTCTACTAGAATTCTTTTACAAATGAATTCCATATTTTGAACTCATTTGTACTAAAAGGAGGCATTAACGTTTCATTAAAAACTACTAAAACAGCTAACAGCTACCAAAACAGCTACTTTTATCGGACAGACCTTTGCTTTTTTTTGGTTTCTTTTCGCTAAATCAAAATATCAATACTTAATACTAGAGTAGAATTTAAGAGCTTTGCACTAAGTTACTCTGTTACCCATTTGATTAAGACTTCATCAGTTTAAAATTTTCTAACAAGTCATGTTTTTACATGAGAATAAGTTATTTTACTGTTGGATTAAAATTTAAATTAGGAAAATAGTTGAGTTTTAGATACATTATTGTTTCTATTTTATAATTAATATAATCCAACAATAAAATAACTCACTTCTCATATGAAGACATGTTATGCAACACATCCCAAAAAGAATTTGCTTAGATAATTAATTATTTAAATGATAGAATATTTGAAAATTTAATTTATTTATATTTTCAAGGATTAAATAGGGGAAACTTACTGTGCTAGAAAATGAGGGGGAGGTGGGGGAAAGAACCCACATGGTATGTTAGGCAAACCCTAAATGCTCCTAAAATTGGACACTACAAAATGTATTGCTCCCATTCTGTATAACAGTAAATGTGATTGCACTATTTCCATGTTAAGGAAGGTTCATAGAATATTAAATTGTGAAAAGGAATAAGAATAGCACAAACAAAAACTCTTTTGTTGTTAAATTTGAAGAGAGACAAATTGCATACTTGAAAATTATAGGCACATGGATAAAATCATGTCATTTTGCATGAGTGAAAGCAAGTGGGAAGAGGGACAAAGCATTGATTCAAGGTTGGTGGTTGGTTGGTTGGTTGGGTGCTCCACCACTGCAATTTTGAAAATAATTTTCACTTTACATTTATTACTTATGGAAATTATAATAGTGTACTCAAAATAATGCATCAACCTTTTCCTATTTTCATTTCTAAGTCATAGGTTATAATCATTAATCAAGGTGTTTTCACTATTTTCCTAAAAAATTGGAAAACAGAGTTTTGTGTTCAAATCAGTCAGTTTTTTATTTAGAAAACTAGGAAACAGTTTACCAAAATTTAATTAAGATTTGAAAAATAACTTTTAAGTTATTTTCAACAGTTTTCCTTTATAACAAAAAAATGTTTTCAAACTGTTTTTCATTTTTTTAGAATGACATTTTTATAATTAAAATTATAATATTTATAAATAATTTTTTGTATAAAATATTTTCATTTGACAAAAAAAATTAAATAACACAAAAAATTATATTTTTATTTTATCAAATTAATATTTTAGCTTCTTAATATTAATTAATAGATTATCTTATTGCATAAAGAGTTAATTAGCTTATATTAATTTAAGACACTAAAAAAATCTAAAGCCCGCTCAAGTAAAACTATTAAAAAAAAAATAACAGAATGATTAAATCATAAATCATAAATTGATATCTATAGCTAATTTATGTTAACTAACTCTTATAGCAGACGATTCTAACAAATAATGAAAACAATTCAATTAAAAGAATTAGAAGTCGATACTTATTATTTAAATTTATCATTATAGTTTCTACGGTAGAACATAAGATTTATAAGGAATATTGTCAAAAATATTCTTTTAAACATTATTCTCTCTTTATCCCATATTGCAATACACAAAGATTTCAGAATTTATATATATATATAACTTATTAGTTTCTCTAACTCTGACCTATTTTTTATTTACTCTGTCAATTTTTCTTGAGTCTATGTTTATTTAATCATTTTATATTTTACTAAGAACCAATTAGATTATAGATGGTACATGCTTATTTCGTGCTTATTATTATGGAGGAAGCACACCGTAAAGCAATGGGCTTCTGGCTATATCTTCATCAACCTTCTTGTAAATATAACTGGGCTGAAAGCCCAATAAAGGGCAATGTATACATCTGGTCGGCTCTTTCCCCCTTTTTTTTTTTTTTTTAATAAGTTTCCCTAGCCGCTGGGTTAAATTTAATCCTACTCGGAGAAAATTTTTTCTGTTCACAAAAATCAAACACTCAATGTTTAATAAAGACGAGTCTTTTCCGCTGAGATTAAACGGTTAATTTTTTTCTATAATTTTTTTATGCCCATCGCAAAGTTGTTTTACATGTATTTCGTGGAAATGAATTCATTGGTACCTCTAATGATAAAACAAGCCATCAAATCCTCATAAAAAAAAAAAAAAAAAAAAAAAAAAAAAAAAAAAAAAAGGAAGAAAGTAAAAAAAAAAAAAAAAAAAAAAAAAAAAAAGGAAGAAGTGAAATTTTAGGGATAAACATGTGCGTTTTGCTTTGTCGAGTTAGCAAGATCCAATTAAAGCCAAACATCAAAATTAATTAAAATTAATTAAGAGAAAATTATTATTGCGTCCCTATATAATACATACTTAGTCAAGTTAGTAAGATCGAATTAAAGTCAAACACCGAAATTAATTAAGAGAAAATTATTACTATGTTCCTATATAATGATCAAATACATTAGTTGGCCCTTTTTTGTTTAAAATACATAATTACATCCCTAAGTTTTGTCTCAGTCCAATTTTTATGAATTTTCATTAATTTATATCAAAAGAGAACAAAAATACCCGTACTAGTTAGTAATTTCTGTTGTCCATTCTCTCTCCTTACCCATTATCTTCCATCATCGCCCTTGTTCACCTTTATAAATCCCTTATGGACATTTTAGGGATCATAGAGCTCTTTCCAAAACACTCAGAAATATATGAAAAGAACAAGAACAACTACAAAAGAAATCATTGTTCCAATATTGATTACCAATAAAGCTTCTCCAAAATCTAAATCCATGAATTCACTCTTTCAAGTAAAAAAACACACTATCAAATAAATTATCAGACGTTGTAAGAAAGTTTTGTTAATGATTGTAAACAACTTCAAAAGAAGTTGTACGTAGAGGGTCATTTTGATCGTTAAAAACCTTTCTCTCACAGTTGACAACCCTTTTTTTTTTTGTTTTGACTCGAAGAAAAAGACTCTAAAATGTGGATAAAATGAAAGAACTAAAGGGATTAGACGAAAACAATATTTTAGGATGTAATCATGTATTACCAATAGGGAGGTAATAATGATTTTTTCCTTAATTAACTTAATCTTTTTATTAAAAATTAAAATTATGCTAAAATTTCAAAATATGATAAAGGTTAACACTTTTTTCAAGTAATCAAGCGTATAATTTATTAATTTTTTATTTGATATTAATGACCACCTCATAATATTAGTTATTTTACTAATTATTCATTAAATGTTAAGAGAGTAATGTTTTATAATACATTCACTTCACTTCTACATACAAAAATATTATGCCACCAAATAATAAAGATCGAACTTGTATTTTCATCCATAAGGTCACTTACTACTTCAACGAACATTTTGTTGGTATTAGAGTTTGGTTTTGAATATATGAAAAGAATAGCTTAAATTTCTTTAAATAATAAAACTAAACAAGAGATTATATTATATATTTTTGCTTGAAAATAATTATATTATAAATTTTTATAGCGATAATTAGTCGTTTATTTGATTTATAGAATAAAATAAAATTTTTCAATTTTCTATCCCTAGATTGTTTTTCCAAGAACCGGTTGCATACGAGTATATAGGTGAATTTCTACCACTTTGTGCCTATAATATTTGATTTACATCAATATTTAAAGTCTCTAACTAAGTACATTTTAATATCACACACTTATTTAGTGTCAAATCCTCGTAAACAAGGCATCAAACCCTTATAAAAGAAGGAACAAAAAATTTTAAATATGGAGACAAACAATGCCAATAAAAAAATAAAGAAAAAAGATTGTCATGAGAAAAATAAATATGAGTTTATTAAGTGTAGAGTTAAACGACCGAAGAGAAGATCCACCTTCTTTTTTTACATTATAGTTAATCCTTAAATTGTCTATTATATCCTTATTAAATTTTATCTTATTTTTAATAACTCTTTAATTCTTTTATATCCTTATTAAATTTTATCTTATTTTTAATAACTCTTTAATTCTTACTTATTCCAATATAATAATTGCTCATGTGTTATTTAAGATGAATATAATAAGAAAGTTATATAAATAAAATTATTTTTTAACCAGAATAATTATTATTTCTTAATCTGTGTGAAAATACAAGATGGACGGTCTTTTGAAACAAATGGAGTAAAATTTAATATAATTAAAATATATATCCACAGTTTAAAATTTATTTATGTAAAAGATAAAAAAATGAAGAAAAAAAATGTTATACAACTCTTTAACGAGTCTTTAAGTATTAGGACCAAGATGACCTTGAGAAAATGAACAATTTCACGAGATTTTGAGCACAACAACAAACAAATAATATCGCGATAAATTAAAATATGAAAACCAGAAAAAAGAAATTTTTTTTTTTTTAGCAGTTCATAAGCTAGTCACTGTACTCTACCATGGAACGAAATAAAACCCATAAGCCTTTCATACGTCCTTGAAAAAAGCCTAATAAAGGCTTAGGCCACCGCTTCATAAGCCTCTCAAAGGGCCAAATCCATTTCCGTATATTACACACTTTCAAAACCCGGAGAAAAAAAAAAAGTAAGCATAATTTCGTCTGAAGAAATTGTTGATTCCTCAGAAAATCTTTAGCATTTATAGACAGATACACCCATTATTATTATTTCACTACTACTCATTATATCACCCATCTGTAATTGTTTGTGTTTGTCTGTGAGAGAGAGAGAGAGAGAGAGAGAGAGAGAGAGAGAGTTCTTTGTTAAAAGAGCTAAGAGTGTAAAAATTGCTTTTAATATTTTTCTGGTTTTGGTGAAAGAAAGAAAGAGAGGGAGAGAAAGAGGCTATAGCTTTGGAGTTCTTTGCTTATAAAAGGTTACAATGAGAAAGAATATATGGGTTTTGCAGTGTCTTTTATTGCTGGAATGCTTTCTGGGTATGTTCTTTCTTTTTTCCCCCCTTGTTTGAAGCTTATCTTCTTTCTCTAATTATATGTTTATTTATATTTATGACTTCTTGTTCATGGGTTTTTCTTTTCTTTTTTTTTTTTTTTTTTTTTTTTTTTGGGCTTAATATTGTCCTTTTTAGAATATGTGATTTTTCTCCTTCGGTAAAGAAGAAAAATGAGAACAAAGAATTGAGTTTTTTTAATAAACTGTCTTCATTGTTTTTTTTTTTTTTTTTTTTGGGCTTATATTGTCTTTTTTAGAATATGTGTCTTTCTCCTTGGTAAAAGAAAATGAGAACAAGAATTGAGTTTTTAATACTTCTTCATTGGTCTGACCCTTCTTGATCAGGACCTAGAAGTAGAAGTTAATGTTTGTTTTATGCATATTAATATAGGACTCCCATTTCTTGGAAAGAAAATCATTAAAATTGCATTTTTAATTACTTCTTCTCTGTTTGCTACTTGTTTACTTTGATCAGAGAGGCAAACATTCTTTCTCTATGTTATATTACTTAAAGTTTTGTCTTAAAAGAAGAAGAAGATTAAATTAATTCCTTAGTTTGCTCTAAAGCTTGGCCTTGTCTTCTTGTTTCTATTTCCATCACTATGATTTTTACTGTGCCAATTTTTTTTTTTCAAGAGAACTCACAATTTTTTTTATCATACCTTTCTCTCTCCATCTCCATTCTTTCTTATTGGACAGCAACTGTTAGCCCATTTTAGCTTCAAGACTGTAATCTTCTTAGAATAGAAACTGCTCCACAGAAATGGTAATGATGGCAATGGGTGTCTTTTTGACTGCCTAAACCATGCACTTGGACTGGCTTCTCATGGTCAAAATTAGAGCTTTTAAAGAAATATCACATCCAAAACCGAAAAACAAAAAGATTAATTTTCATTTATTATCTCATTTATTCTATTTTTATTGTGTTTTAAGGCCATAATAATTGCAGAGATATGCTGTTTCTTGGAGATATTTAATTGATCTGATGGTGAAGATGTAATAAAAATAATGCATTAAATATAGAATAGGAAACATAAAATGCATTAAATATAAAAATAGGAAACAAAAAGTGAATGGAGATGAGACATTCTTTGCTTATGGGGTGCGTCTTATATGATGCTTTAGGAACCCAAATCCGTATTATCTATTCATGGAATAGGTTATGTAAAGCTAATGTAGTAGTTTTTTTCTCTTCTTTTTCTAAAATTTTTGGATCCTCTCTTTATAGTTTATATATCATATAGGTCACGGAAGCTAATAGTTTGGAGTTAAAATACTGGAATTTATTTGTAGTTATTGCCTTGATGATCTACTGTTTCTATAGTTTATGACTCTGATGATGGTCATTAACCCTTAGTTGATTATATTTAAATTTTGGGAAATTTAAAATAAGTATAGCATTGAAAAAAAAAAATTTATTTGGGTTATTGAAAAAAGAAATTATTTAGGTTGTTCATCTTAATCAAAATTAGTTTTAATTGAACAAGTGTAGAAGCAAATCTTTGTTTGTTTTCTATTAATTTGAGTTGCTTGAATAGCAAATAGGAAATCTCTTGCTGTTACACTATTTCTCTTAGAACATGATTCTATAAGAATTGTAAGGGAAAAAAAAACGAAGGTAAGAGTAACCAATAAGTAGTTAGATGTGAATTAGTTAATTACATCAAGATATTGTTCCAAATGGATATTCTACTAGTAAAAGTTTGAGATCTCTGTAAGAGAATCTCATGCTCAAATTCCATAAAGCAAAATGGGAATGAATTATTAGGTAAGGCAGAAGCCTGCTGATAGCCCATGGGATGGGACGATGGGTACTAATTATTCCCTCGGTCCCAGAATATAGGCGCTTTTGAGTGATAATTCTATCCAAAATATAAGTCGTTTTGAGCATTTTAAGAAATAATAAATGATGTTTGCATTGGATCAAATTACCCTTGGTTAATTAATTGCTTTCTTAATTTCTGTGCAAAAATCTTAAACAACTTATACGAAGGAGCATACTCTCGTTGAATCCAATAATTTCTCTTTTTTTTTTTTTTTTGGTAGTTCATCTAATATACAAAAATATGTGTTCAGTGTTGAAAATTGAGGCAATAGTGCAAGAGAAAGCAGATGCAGCAATTCCAATAACAACATTGTCACCTCCAGAAGGCAACACAACATTCCTAGGAGGCACAACATGGTGTGTAGCCCTTGCTGGTGTATCTCAAATTGATTTGCAAAATGCATTAGACTGGGCATGTGGGCTAGGGATGGCTGACTGCAGAGCAATTCAAGAAGGTGGAGCTTGTTTTGAACCTAACACTCTCTTGTCTCATGCTTCATATGCTTTTAACAACTATTACCAGCAAAATGGGAATTCTGATATTGCTTGCAATTTTGGAGGAACTGCTACTTTAACTAAAAGCAACCCAAGTAAGAAATACTTTTCCCTTCTCCATCTTCCTATTTAGTTACTGGTGTTATTTGCATAATTTAACAGATAAAAACTCTAGATTTTATTTTATTTTTTTGAATCGCTAGCGTTTGGGGTTTAATTTTCAATATTTTAATATAATTCTTTCTAACATTATTAAACTTTTTTTAGAGGCATGATAGATTGGTGTTTAAAATAATATAATATAAATATAAATCAAAATTTCAAGTATTGTAAGAAAAATTTATCATAGTAATCGCCATTGTTGTTTTGCAGGTTATGGAAAATGTAACTATGCTGCAGCTGGATTAGGGTATGTTTTTAGCACCCTAAAATTTCCCCATCACCCTCATAGGAACTAATAAAGATTTTACTTCTATCAACCATCATCCAACCTTTTTTAGTTTTTCAATTTTAAGTATTTCCAAATTACAAATAAATTCACCAAAGTATTCTTTTTTTTTTTTTTTTTAAAGTAAAAAATTCTGGTTTTATTACGGAGTTACTGTGGCCACCCCCAAATTTTAATTTTAATTTTTTAAATTTACCTTATAAAATATATAAAATTTTACTTTTCACCTATAAAATAGTGTTTTTTTTCCCAATCTGTAAATTTTGAAAATTCTTTTTAGCCCCCGCTAATTATTTTTTTCTAGTTTCACCATTGTTCATTACCATCTCTAGTCAAACTCAGCAGCATTTTGATTAACATTTTAATATTTTCCTCTCTGGTTTATTGTGTTCTCAGGTCTCTTCACTCATCAGTGGCTTCATGGTCCAAGCACAGTCCAAACATGGTATGGTGGAAGCTTGTTGGGATTTTGCTGCTTTTGTACTTGAGAAGGTGATTGTGGAGTCAATTATCTTTTGGCTGAAGCTTAATGGTAATCATTATTAGTACATGGAAATGAATTTGTGCTTAGTTAGCTAAAGTAAAGATGTTAGGTGATATTACACTTTTGTAATTGGAATTGCTTAAGTTATTCCTACCTTTGGTCAGGTGGTTTGGAATCTATATATGGTTTTTGCAATCAAATCCTACTTTTTTGTGCTCTTTGTATGCTTTATTGAATTATATGTTTCTATATGGTTGTTGGATGCCTAATTAAGGTAATGGAAGTTTCTTAATTGCAAGGCTATGAATTCATATTTAGAAGAATAGCAGGAATAGAAGAATTCATATTTATCAATTTTGTTTCAAATTTAAATAATAAGACTTGCTAGATTTTCTTTAAGGTTTTTATGTCTCATCTACCTCATTGCTGATGAAATGACAATATTAGCCTTATTGACTTGAATGAAGAGGCAGTAGTAGAATATATCACGAGAAATTGAAAGAGGATAAATTATGATGAGAAATTGTTATTATTATTGTCAGGAAAGAGTGTTATGGAATATGAAATAAGAAAGAAAAGAAGAGAAGAATCTGGCAAAGTTGTGAATCTATAGGAAGGTAGGGTCCACAATCGTATCCGGGGACTGGGGAGAATAGGAAGAAGAAGAAGAGATTTACGTTTGTCCTTTTTAATTTTTAGAAATGAACAAATCGTATTCTTAACATAGGGCAGTGTTCTCTGCATGCATGTCAGAATGTGAATGCCTTTTCTTTTTAGGCACGCGATTTCTTGCTTGCTTGCTTGCTTGCTTTCCTTTGCCTTCGCCTTCTAAGCTGACATTTTTTCTTCTTTATTTTTAGCCTTATGTTTTGTCCCAAATTGTATTTTTAGTCACTTTTTGGATGATAAAACATTACTCTCTAAGTTGAGAATAATGGCTGAAAATAAGTTTATTTTGGTCCACAGTAAAAAACTTTTCTATCAAGGTAAGTTGACCAGTGTAGTAGACGAAGTTTGGCTAAGTGATCTTGCATTCGCGATTGGGGAGTTTTTGTACAGAGATAATTCCTTTAGGAATAGTGATGGAGGCAAGAAGGGTAACTTAAGGTATCCGCATCAATTCAAGGGTTGAATTTAGTCGGACAGAGTCTATAGCCTCACGTATGAATCATACTAATGAAATTAAGTATTTTTATTAAATTAAGAATATTTCTGACCATACGCTTGGAAAAAAAATATAAAGTTAGAATATTTTTTAAAGAATCCTTAATTTTATTTGTTTGGTCCATAAGTGGAGCCATGAATTCAATTTATGTAAAAATTCATTAATTTTTTTTGGTATAAAAGAAGAGGAAAAACACTAAAAATTGTATCATCTAGAATAAGCAATGCCCACAACATCATGCATCAGCCAAGGGAGAATGTCAGTCTGGAGGATGATTGAGAATATGTAAACCCAGGTCAGAAGAAGAAGCAAAGCCCGCAAGCCAATCTGCACTGAAATTGATTTCTCTATAAATACAAGAAATGGTGATGTCCTCAAAAAGCGTAAAATATGGTTGGATAGACTAGGGGTGGCTACGGTTTCGGAACCGGCGGTTCCGGTTCCAAAAAAATTGGAACCGAAAAGGTCCGGTTCTGATTCCGGTTTGGAACCGAACGGTTCCGATTCTGGTACGGTGACAAAACCGATGGTTCCGATCGGTTTTCCGGCGAATCGCATAATTTTAAATTTTAAATTTTGAAGACCGGTTTTCAAAATTTAATAGCTTTCGGTTTCGAAACGGCGGTTCCGGTTTTCCCAAAAAAATTTTGAAACCGCGAAAAGGTCCGGTTCTGATTCGGTTGGAACCGAACGGTTTCCGATTCTGGTACGGCTGACAAAAACCGATGTTTCGGATCGTTTTCCGGCGAATTCGCAGTAATTTAAATTTTAAATTTTTGAAAAGACCCTGGTTTCAAAATTTAATAAATTTTGTGAAGTTATTTGTGAAAAAAAAATACACCTAATAAAAATTAAAAAAATACTTCAATTAAATTTATTTTTTTTAAAGACTTGAACATAATTATTTTTTTAAAAAAAATTCTTCAACTGAATTTTATTTTTTTGTTTAAAAAATTTGAATATATTTAAAAAAAAAATACACTTCAATTAAATTTATTTTTTTAAAGACTTGAACATAATTATTTTTTTAAAAAAAATTCTTCAACTGAATTTATTTTTTGTTTAAAAAAATTTGAATATAATTTAAAAAAAAAATACAAAACTGACAGTTTATAACGGCTAGAACCGGCGGTTCCAATCCGGTTGCGACCGATTTTCTAGAACCGGAACCGAACCGGAAATCTCCGGTTCCGGTTCCGGTTCGGGACCGATTCGAACCGATGGTTCTGGTTCCCGAAACTGTAATATGACTACCCTTAGGATAGACTGCATGAGCGAAATCACAAATAAAAAAGACAGATAACACCATTAACCATCTTAACAACAATCATGTTATCACATCCCACCTGAATTGCAGGAAATTCACAGCTATGAGTAAATTTAATACCTTCAAAAAGAGCCCATAGCTCAGCTCCCAGCACGGTTGGTTGACCAATCCTGCAACAAAACCACCTAAGCAGTTCCTCACACTATCCCGAAATAAACCTCCAGCATAAGCAAGTTGACCTGCAATTCATTAATTTTTTTTATCATTTCTAAGTCATTTTCCTTGTAACATAAAATACTGTCTGATTTAAATTATATATACTTACTAGGAAAATACAGTAAAAAATTATAATATACCTGAAATTGTCCAAAAGAAATACCCTCCTACACTTTCACAATAATCCTCTGCTTTCCTCTTAAGAAACTGAAACCACATAAGAGCAATCTCAACCAATAAAATTGTACTACATATCAAATCATATAATATAAAGAACCTTATGGTCTAAAGTACGATGGATCATGAGTTATTATTATTTTGGCATAACTGCAAATAATACTTCATAATATTAAATTGCATGGCATCGTCCTTTGAAGAAGTAAATAAATGAGAATGTGTCGAACCACTCATCCTTAAATTTTGCATTCCCATCCCATTAGCTAGCCGGGAATCAGAGCATCTCCATCCAACTTATTGAGTTAGGACTAAATACTATTTAAGCAAATGGACACATTAAAAGATAAAATGCTCCCAATAAATCTGTACTTTATTATGTAGATTGAATTTTTAATCTCACTTAAGAGAGCAGACTGTCCAACCACTCCATCACAACACATGTTATTCTTACTCTTTTCGCTTTACTGTCAATTGTCATCACTGCGATGGGATTTAACGTTACATGAGTAGTGGTAAGGCGAACAGACACTCATTGGACTGAGGTCAACGCGTCATTTTTGCTACCGGGCCTAAAAATAATATGGAGTGTCAAAGCCTTGACAAATAAAATTACAGGCTCTCGATAAAACAAAGCATACAAAGTTTGATGACTATCCATTCTTCCTTAAACTTCTATAATGTTGAACTTGAAATTATATTTTAGAAAATAAAAAAATATTTTAAAACACAGTTTGAGGATCGAAATAATATATATATATAACGAGCTATACTACTCTTAATTCATCAAATTAGTTAAAATTATTATAATTGAGGGAATTCGAATTTAAAGACTCTCATTTTTTAAGTTGCTGAAAAGACTAATCAGACCATACTTAGCATAATTTGAGAGAGTTACTGATTAGTTTTAATAACTTTTCTCTTCTAATAGTGCAAGAAACTACTTATCTTGTTTTAGCTTATGAATCTAAAGCTCTATTGTGAGCTAAACGATATTAATTCTTTGTTTTTTTTTGTTAAAAATTTAGTTAATGGGAAAACCTAATTCAATTGTATTATATTTACTTTAAATATTTAATGTATTAATCTTATTTTAGTTTATGTAATATGAAAAAGTAACAATATGTATTTAAAAATAGATTTATTGAAAGTGTTTTGTTTTTTAAGAATAACAAAATAATATAAAAATAGATTACAAAATAATGGGCCTGGGCCAATTCTAATTCATCCACACCATAAGTCTATAACCCAACAAAGATCACAAGACCCAAACCCCAAATCCATTTGTTGGTACTATTACATTTACAAGATCTCAGATACCCAAAACCTTATCCAATTGAGTAACCCTATAGCACAATGCCATGTCAGCAACAAGTATCTAAGTGTATCCAATTCTAGCATTCTAAAGCCACAAATTGCACATGTGGATATGCTTTACAATTCCTTATTACTCATTTTATATTTGATTTTAGATACCTAAAAATTATAAAATTATCAAAGGAATAAGTTATAAGAGAGAGAATCATCAAAATTCTCTTCAAAGGTTCAAATGGCAGCCTCTATGATGACCACTCTTCCTCAATTCCATGGCCTAAAGCCCCAATTCTCTTCTGCTCCTGTAAAATCCCTGGTTAGTGATTTTTTTTTTTCTTCTTTTTATTACTTATTTTCCTTTTGTTTTATTTAATCAAATTAAAATTGCATTTATACAATATAAATGAAAATTATGCTTTTTTTTTTTTTTGAAAACGATGAAAATTATGCATTAAGAATGGATATTTAGTATTTGGGATGAGAATTCAAATTTAAATCTATTACCGAATCATTGATGCATTAACCGTTCAGCTATGTTTTGGTGTATGAAAAATAACAAATTAATAGGATAATTTAATATTTAGTGCTTATCTTAAAATACATAATGTTATAAATGATTTATACAGGCAGCAGTTCAACCCATAAGGCGAAAGGGAAATGGAGCTTTGGGCACTCGAATGGATTTCATTGGTTCTCCCACAAACTTGGTAAGGTTTTTATTATTTTTTCTTATTAAAATAGAGTTTGATAAAATAAATAATTATATATTAAAAAGTTTAAGAAAGTGATGAAATTTTTTAAATGCAAAATTATTTAAAATTCCCTTATTTTATTTAATGGAAATTTTTTAAGCTAAGCGGAAATGTGGCATCATGAATCAGCTTTGACACATTATATATACTCAATGAATTTTAATTTAATTAACGCTTTTAGGTGTTATGGTTGCAAATATAAGATTGGTTTACTAGTTTGTTTTGGATTGAAATTGAATTAGTATCGATTCAGTGAAAAATCAAACCGAAATAAATTCAAAAGTTTTCTTGATTTTTCATTTCTGTCTTGATTTATGATTTTTTTGCTGAATTAGTTGCCCAAAATATTTAAATTAAAATTTTAATTACTCGATTGTGCTATAAAAATCATGTTAAATTTTTATATTTGTCTATGTATTTAATAAATCTAATGATTTGGACAGATAATGGTGACAAGTACAAGCCTAATGTTATTTGCTGGGAGATTTGGGTTGGCACCATCAGCAAACAGGAAGGCGACAGCAGGATTGAAGCTTGAAGTGAGGGACTCTGGTTTGCAAACTGGCGACCCTGCTGGTTTTACTCTTGCTGATACCTTGGCCTGTGGTACTGTTGGGCACATCATTGGTGTTGGTGTTGTTCTTGGCCTTAAAAACATTGGTGCCCTCTAAATTAACAATCAAATATTTTCACCTTCTCTATTAATTATCTCTCTTAATTATTTCTTTTTTTTTTTTTAATTTATTAATTTGCCATTTTTCTCCAAAATATTGAAAAACAGATTAGGAAAAACAAAAACAAGGAAGAAAATAGAAAGAAGATTGATATCCAAATATTCTCAAATTCACTTATAGAATCTCATTTTTATCACTATAGTAAGACATCAATCAAACACTCATCACATTGAGTTAGATTCATATGTCAATGTATAGTGAAAACTGAATATGATGAAAAATTGAAAGGTTGAATTTACTTGCTAAAATTTGGAATTATTGCTTTCTACAAATAACGAAAAGTATCACTGAAATTTTTTTATGTTTGGAATGGTTAAAAATTAATTGATAGAAATGATTTTTTAATTAAAGAAAAAAATAAGTCATTTTGAAGGTGACCGGCGGAGGCGGCGGGAATGGTCATAATGAAGAACGGATTCCTCCTGCGATTAACCCCATTAGTTCAGCTCAAGTGATTCCACCGGTCTTCAGGTTGCTCTAGCTCTAACTCAAGTATATATAAATTTGGGAAAAATTTATCTAGACCGAGTCTATTGTCCCGTTTATTTACCAAACTAATAAATTAATGATTCTTATTGAAACAATGATTTTTCTAATCATACACTTAGAAAAAAAAAATAGATAAAATCGGAACACGCTTTTTAAAATTTTTAATTTCATTTATTTGATTTATAAATAGTATTATAAACCTAGTCTAAGTAAGTTTTTTTCCTATAAATTTCAACGTAGTATTAGAGCGACTCGCCCGGTCTAAGGATCCGCCGGTAATACGAACAATTTACCAACTCGGACAGATGTCTCAAAACCTTTTGCAGAATCGGCAATAAACCATGATACACTTCTTGAACATGTATCTTAACTACTACCTTCCAATATGTCGGCTATTAGTACAAGATAATACCTCACGAAGACCTTAAGCTTCGGCAAAACTTTGAGAATTGAGGCCAAAGCATGCGCTGGAAATTTCGAATACAAAAGCTTCATCGCTTTCGATTTTTCATAATCATGGTAAAAATGAAAATATAAACTAAGATTATATTTGATCCCCTTAATTTTGAAAATTTTCTTTTGGACCCTCTAGTTGGAGTTTTGTTTTGCTACTGTGTGTATGTTCAATGGCAATATTGTCATACTATGCACGGTTAAAGAAAATAATATAATGTATATAGCTTGTTAATAAATTCTCGAGTATAATTTTTTATATTATACTATTAAAAGATATAAATACAAATAAATGAATAATAGACAATGTAATCATGATTTTTTGATTAGGAGAATGAGAATTAGTAGATAAACATGTATTGAGAAGCATGGATTGAGAATGGTGAAATTTATAAAGATTAATTAAAAAATAAAATAAAAGGAGAATTAATTAATTTGATTTATTTTACAATTAATATAGAAAATAACTTTCCATATCATTTAAATCTAAAAATCATATAATTTTATTTTAAATATGAGAAAATCCATCATATTTAATATAATTTAATTCCAAAAATAAAAAATGATTTATTTTACTTTTACACTATTTATTTGAAATTAGTATAAAACAATAACTGATCTATCATTTAAATCCATAAAATGAGTATTTTATTTATATCACTAAAAGCTACAGTATATAAATTACTACTTAATATGTTATTAATTTTCTAATCTTGTATTATATTTAACATAATTTAATTCAATTAGTAAATAATCATAAATTCTATTTGTTTTCAAATAAATATAAAGACAAATATTAAAACACGTGTCATTACTATAAAACAATTATAAATATTACATATGTCAATTCTTTAGAATCCTACGTGATAGTACCGAGGAAAACCTATATCGACAACTTTATAACTATTTGTTATAGATTGATTTGCTACATGAAAAAAATATTTTTAATTATTTAACAATTATCTTAAAATATATATTAACTAATTAATTATATAATAGGTAAATTAATCATTCGATCAAAGTTTTATAAAAAGACAAGATAATTATTTCTAAAGTTTGTGAAAAAATAGAAAATAAATTGTTGGGAAAAGAGAGTTTCAAGTCAAAATTTATAAAATTTCTCTCTATTTCAACTATATATATATATATATATTATATTTATTCTTTAAATATGAGTAATTAACTATTAAGTTATATAATAGGTAAATTATCATTTCGATCAAAAGTTTTATAAAAAGACAAGATAATTTTTCTAAGTTTGTGAACAATAGAAAATAAATGTGTTGGGAAAAAGAGAGTTCAAGTCAAAATTTATAAAATTTCTCTCTATTTCATATATATGATACTTATATATATATTTATTTTTATACTTAAAATTTCTAACTATTCGTCATCCAGGCCACAGGACAAGATTAAAATTTTCAACTATTCGTCATCCCACAGACAAGAAACATATGTTTATTTAAAAGAAATTTTAAAAAGTAAAATTAATAATTTTAAAAGGCTTAATTATGTAATTTTTATTTAAAAATTTATTTCTAAAGAATATATCTAATCAAATCATACAAACATAAATAAAAAATATAATAAAAAGAATAATTTTTTTATTTTTTATCTATCTCCCAAATAAAAAATAAATTTTAAAAATAAAATATAAAATTTTTAAATGGCTCATTATCATATATATTTATTAAAAAATAAATTAAAAAAGGTAAAACACAATCTTGAAATGCTTAATTATCTATATTTATTTATTTAAAAATAATTTTTAATAAATTATATCTAATTAACTAATAAAATTTAATTTTAATTGCCTTTAGAGTATTTTAAAATTCATTAAAAATGCTATCAAAAATCCTATTTATTTTCCTTTATTTCCACATTTATGTATAATATAACTTATTAATTATAGAATAGATCCCTCATTGGATTGGACACCATTAAATGGTTGCAAACAGATTGTTAATTTAAGTTTTTAATAAGTGGCAACTTAATAAATATAAGAAATAAGGTTTCAAATTATAATAAATATAAGAAACAAGGTTTCAAATTAAACAAAATGTCAGATTATACATTAAGATAATGTCAATTTTAGTCAAAAAAAATTCATTAATACTCAAACTAACCTCGATGATCCATGTCAAGTGTTAAACCAAAACTAACAGAGTCAAACCGTAAAATTATTTACCTCTACTCCAATCAACAAACAGCAAATACAACTCTTATCGACCCATGAAAAATTAATCCTCCGTGCAAAAACGTTACAAAACCTGAAGAAAAATTTAAACCCATTATCAAGTACTTATAGAACAAATTTTTTTCATTTCCAAAATCGAAAAATAATCAGAGAATCTAGGTTTTATAAATAGAAAATAAAATCTCATTAGGTATAAGGATAATAAATATAAAACTGATTATTTTAATTGTTTAGGTCAAAATGATATTTTTTAAATTAAAATATGACATCTACTACAATATCCTTCTTAATAACCTCCAAATGTTTTTAAAAAATGAAAATCATAAGATTTGTCATTATTACGAACAATAAAAATAGAAATAAAAAAAAAATGGTAATTTTCACACAAGGCTAAAAACCCAAAAACGGCGTCGGAGCTTCTCGGTAAAGGGATAGAGTATAGACTATAGAGGCAATTGGGGCAGTAAAATTAAAAAACGAAATAAGGCATTTCAGGCTTCTTCTTTTAGCTTCTAGTATAGCTCACTGAATAAAATAGCTTGCAGAAGCCCAAAAGGCAGACACCGCGCAGGGCGATAGAGACAGAGGAAACGAGCACGGATCCTCCATTGAAAAAGAGAGAGAGAGACAGAGAGGCAAAAATAGAAGAGATGAGTATATGGAACTACGTGGTGACGGCTCAAAAGCCAACCAATGTTACCCACTCTTGTGTCGGCAATTTCACTAGTCCTCAAGAGCTCAATCTAATTATAGCGTAACCTCTTCAAATTTATGCTTTCTTGCTGTATACATGCATTATCTTTATATTCATTTGTTTATCCTTTTATGTAATTGATTTTTGGTTTTTGTTTCTTAGGGTTTTTGTTCATTAGATTGTGTTAAATATTTCATTTTTCATTTTTCGACTGCACTGTATATATATTTGATATAGATTAGCAGTTCTTAGGTTTTTTTATTTTTTATTTTTTTTTGAGGTTATTGCTTAGTTTGTGCAAACATTATATGTAGGTTTGTGCAGCTTTAACAAAGTTGAAAAATTAGTATAGGAATTGTTTATTTTCACAAGAATGCAGTTCAGCTGGGGAAAAAATAGGACCTAACTGAGATTTTGTTTTTTTTTTTTTTTTGTCAAATTTGTCATATTTACTTTGGCTAAGTATTCTTATGAATGCTGTAGCTTGCTGGGTAACTTTATGTTGTTTGCCTTGGTGATAAATGTTTTTTGTTTTCTGTGCATCTGAGAGTAAGTTGAATTCTGGATCATGTTTTTGTTTAATTTTATTTTTTATTCTTTTCATTGTAAAGGTTAATCCTATTTTTTGTGTATGGACTTCTGAATTTATGTCGCATAGAATAGGGTGCTAAGCCCAATGTAAGGAAAAGTTCAGTTATTATTTGCTGTAGTCCAATAGAAATTTGTAATTAAATAAACAATGAAATGAAGGGTAATAGTGCAAAGCTAAAATGTCAATATAGTGGAATAATCAATGTAGCGATATGGTAAATTAGGGGGAAATTGAATATCAATTTTGCTTAGACCTGTGGAGTGTCTAGTACAATATTTAGTTTTGTATTCTGCAAACTAGCATTAAAAATGTGATTACGGTCCTTTAATTGCTGCTAGTTATTATTTTTGTAATATTTCTAATAAATTTCTTTGCAGCTTGATCGTTATTACAATTTAGAACACTTTTCATCTGTAATCACTACTGTACCTTCTGCTACAATGGGCATTACGTTTGCATTATGATCCATTATGAGTTTAACAAAGTAGGCAAGCAATTTTAATCTTAATCCTAATGATAATGTGATTAAATTCACAATTACAGTACTACAGATATGATTATAGTATAGCAAACATATACATACACTATGGCATCTTTTACCTTGTTTGTTATTAACTCAATTTATTGCTTTAATCCCAGTATACAATTGAAGTTGCATTGGCATTTCATGTTTAAAATTATACCTCTATGAGTTAGCTGTCTATTCACTGTCTCCTATGCTTTCAGGAAATGCACTCGCATCGAAATTCATTTACTCACTCCTCAGGGATTACAGGTATCACGTCTTTTCTATTCTATAAGTGTCTGCACACATGTCTTGCACTCTGTATTTGTCGGCATAATTACATGTCCCTTCGTATCTACATTCAAATTTCATATTGAGCTTTCTATTATAAAAGCAAAGTTAGGATTTTTTTTTTTTTTTTTTGAAGTGACACCTAGGAAATTGAATGAAAACATTTCTATGCAGCCTATGTTAGATGTTCCAATATATGGAAGAATTGCGACACTTGAACTTTTCCGTCCTCATGTGAGTATCTGTGTTTATTTATTTTTCGTCTTCCTACATAGTTGTGTCCTTTCCTTATTACTTCACGATTGCTTTGTGACAGGGTGAAGCACAAGACTTTCTATTTATTGCTACAGAAAGATATAAATTCTGTGTTCTTCAGTGGGATGCTGAGACATCCGAGCTTATTACAAGGTATGAGCATGAAAAGTTAAATAATAAGTTTGTTGTTGATTTTCTATTGGGCGTTTGACAAGTTGAATGCTTAGTGCTCATACATCCATTTTATGAATTCACATCTTGGCAATGGTAATGTGCTTCTTATGTGGACATTTCTAGGTCTGAGTTGTGTGTAGAACCATTTCAGCAAGTGGATTATGAGACATTATGGGTTTGAACTTCAATGTTGTCTAATGTGCTACAAACAGGGCATAAAGTGCAAATATCCCGTAAACAAATTAATACTCAAAGGATTTCTGAAGTACAATTCTTCCAATTAATTATGAACCATGGCATATGCTATTTGCATCTCAAATGTCATTCGCTCATTTTATCTTCAACTTCTGCTACTGGCACCTTTTGTTTAATAGGGATAATTGCAATTTTGGTGTATGAACTTTTTTGTTTAATAGGGATAATTGCAATTTTGGTGTATGAACTTGTGATTTTTCTATTTTGGTGTATGAATGGAAAAAGTTAACAATTTAGTGAATTCAACTACTTAATTTTTTAACAATTTAGTGAATTTTGCAAATGTGTCTAGCGGAAATCCTTTGTAGGACGACCATAGGCCCACTTATTCATTTGGTTTTTTGATTAGTAAGGCGCCAAATAGGAATCCACGTGGATTACATAACTAATAATGGGAAATGGCCAATCAACCCCTGCCTCTTTAGCTTCCCACTTTCACCCAAACAATGACCAAGGATTGAACTTCTCAAAAACACAATCATCAAAATGAAAAAAATCAATTTTTCATGGAATCTCTCAAAATGGAGAACTTCATTTAAAATCTCTCAAAAAATCTTTATAAAAAAATTGGCTTTTATAAATACCTTCTGCTTTAAACCCATGCCTTTCTTCCTTTCTCTCTCTTTGATTTGTTCTCTTCTATCTTCAATGGCAAAAAACCCCAGAAGGCCCAAGACAACAAAGCTGTATAAGTATTCAGATACTAATTCCAAACCAAAAACCCCTTTCAAAATCCAAAATTTCTTTAAAATGCAAGAGTTGAAACCTTCCGCATCAACACCCGTTGCCCGCCGCCGCCAGCAGTGGTCCTCCCCAAAAAATACTCAAGCGATTTTTCTTTGTTCTTCCGTTCCGCACTTATGGGAATTGAACTCCAAACATTAAAGAGCTTTAGCCAATGCGTGGTCAGCGTTTTCTTTAGACAATTGTGACTCCTGCAAAACGGCACCTGCTTGCTGCCTGCCATTTTTCTTGCTGTGCTAACTGCGATTCCAAGATCCATGGTGCTCAATAAGCTTGATTCCTAGACACGAGCTCATTTTGTGGAATGTGTGAGGTTCTGTTGAGCAGCACCTGTTGCTGTCACTTGCTAAGCCGCGCTGCCGCTCTTTGTTCTTCAGTTGCAACGATGACATTCACCTTGCTAACCCACTTGCTCCACCGGCATGAAATGGGTTCCGGTTTGAACTGTTTCTTTTCGACTCTGCTGATTTCCTTTTAGATCGTCTGCCATTCAATTTGTCTAGTTGGTGCCTGCGCCGGATACCACCACCACCAACCAAGATGATTTTATGAGAGAACTCTTCACCTACTTCGCGTTTAAATCTTACTGCTTCTTCTATTATTTCTGAAACTTAGAAGAAAGAAACTCTTTGTATGCAGTTTGGGTGAATGGGCGTAGAGAAAGATGCAGGGATAGATTTTGTCCATTTCCTGTTATTTAGTTGTGCAATCCACGTGGCAATCCATGTTTGGGATTCCTATTTGGCGCCTACTAAATCAAAAAACCAAATTGAATAAAGTGGGCCCGTGTCATTCCTTATTTAGGGAATTTCGACTAGACACATGTGCAAAATTTAATGAAAGTGTTAAAAATTAATAAATTGTTCTTCTTTATCTGAAACTGAAGAAAGAAACTCTTTGTATGCAGTTTGGGTGAATGGGGCGTAGAGAAAGATGCAGGGATAGATTTGTCATTTCCTGTTATTAGTTAGTGCAATCCACGTGGCAATCCATGTGGATTCCTATTTGGCGCCTACTAATCAAAAACCAAATGAATAAGTGGGCCCGTGTCATCCTATAGGGATTTCCGACTAGACACATGTGCAAAATTAATGAAAGTGTTAAAAAATTAATAATTGATTCACTAAATTGTTAACTTTTTCTGTTCATACGCCAAAATAATTGCAAAGTTCATACACCAAAATTGCAATTATCCTTGTTTAATATGGTCATTCCTAATCTTGTCCAACCTTATATGACTATGGATCCATCTCATCATTTGAATCTCTGAAACATTCATCTCTGACTTACATCCTTTGTTCTGGAAAAATTTTTGAAATAATTTTTTTATGGTACTGATTGTGAACATCAAGAAAAAGAAACTAATGCGTATTAGAGAGTTGTACATGAAGGGGAGTTTTATTCATTGTTGTTTCCTATTGGCATCCTTTTATCCCATGCTTTGGGTGTCATTTTGTCCTTTCATTTTCATTCAGATTGGTATTAGATCCTTGATCCAAGCTTCTATTTCTTTCCTCTGGATGAGCCTTCATATTTGTCTAATATTTGATGACTTCTTTCAATTACAGCTCTTGTATTGACTAGTGTTTTCCATTTTCCTGTAGAGCAATGGGAGATGTATCAGACCGTATAGGTCGTCCAACAGATAATGGTCAGGTAATTACCGTAGTTCTGACTTCTGAGCAATCATTCTAGCAGTTTGAAGCATAATCTACACTACTTGTTCTTTTCCTTTTGTTGTATATTTGCTGTTGCTGCTTTTTCACTGGCGATAACAGCAAACTCATTTCATGAACTCTATTCTCTCTCTTTCTAAGCAGATTGGCATAATTGATCCAGATTGCAGATTAATTGGACTCCATTTATATGATGGGTTGTTCAAGGTACATGCATTGATCCTGCTAATCTCTATTATACTTTTTTTTACATTACAATGTGAATTTTAGCCTCTTTTCCTTTTAGAATATTATGTTATTTACATTTGTTTGCCATATTGGGATGATAAGAATGATAATAACCATAACTTTCTGTTTTGTCAGGTTATTCCTTTTGATAACAAAGGGCAGCTCAAAGAGGCTTTTAATATAAGGTATATCATCTAATGTTGTACTACTTCATAAAAATTGTACATTTTTGTAAATACCTGGTTTCCAATAAGTAATATTTTATGCTTTACTAATTTGCTAGTTAAGAAAAGGGCATTAGTATAGCCATCAAAGAACTAGAAGCTAGGTTCATTGTGATAGGCATCAAGTTTAGTCTTTGAGAATGCTTATTCTTGTCAGCTGATGCCAGCATTTTGTTTCATATATTCATTTATATCCTAAAAGTTCAAATGTTTGCGCTGTCTTAATTTCAGGCTTGAGGAACTTCAAGTTTTGGATATCAAGTTTCTCTATGGTTGTTCAAAACCTACAATTGTTGTACTTTACCAGGTCCCTATTTTTTCCTTGTGTATCTTTATCTTGTTTAGGTCTTGTGGTTCTTTTCTCTTTTCTTGATACATTGATCTTCTTTACATTACATTAGTTGAAATGAAGTTAATATATGTATTGTTGTTAAACATACTTTACATAAAAAATGCTGTCAGCAATTCACTCTTCATTGAAAGGTATTTTCCATTCCTCCTCAACACTTCATCTAGAATGACAGTATTCCAAATTTGATATTGCACAACATGTAAAATAACAATCTTTCTTCCCTCTTTCCTCAAACACCTTGCTTAGCCTATTCTACTCCTTTATCACTCCTGCGTGGCCCCTGATATTTTCCTTTGCAGTTTCTTTGTACTTGCAAAAAAGTAGCAATTTACAATGATGTTGGAAAAGAGTGGTTATCATCTGAGTTGGCACATTAACTTTTAGGTTAAATTAATGATATTCTTAAAATAAACAAGAACTACATATCTACTGTCTAATTTATGTCATACGTGTCTTAATAATGTACAATTATCTTCTCTGCATATATGATTCTTTTGCAACTTCCCATTCTATTTTGTTTGTCAGAATATTACGCTCCCTTTGCCTCTCCTAGTGTCAGAATATTCTTAATTGGTGGTTTGTTTTGTGCTCTTTTCTTTGTTTGTATTTCTCTCTGGTTCCTTTAATTCTTTTCTTATTCACTACTCAGATACTTATATAGACTTTGGCACTTTGGGTAAATATCTTAATATTACCTATCTATCAAAAAAAGATAAAAGTACTCATGTAAATATGAGCATTGTCATTTTTATGGTCTGCCAATGCCTTGAAAATCTATATATTCTTTCTGAATTAGTTTTACCAAATAATCATATGGTTAATTGGATGGCCTCATTAAATTGTTCCTGTTGTTGCAGGATAATAAAGATGCTCGACATGTTAAAACATATGAGGTTGCTCTGAAAGATAAAGATTTTGTTGAGGGTCCATGGTCTCAGAACAATCTTGATAATGGTGCTGACTTGCTAATACCTGTGCCCCCACCTCTCTGTGGTGTCCTTATTATTGGAGAAGAAACAATTGTTTATTGCAGTGCAAATGCATTTAGAGCAATTCCAATAAGACCTGTAGGTTACTGGTCAATTTTACTAAGAAGCTGTAACCTATTTGCTTATGACATTTTTTATCCCTTATCAATATTTGTTATGTGCTTCTAGTCCATCACAAGAGCATATGGAAGAGTTGATGCTGATGGTTCTAGGTATTTACTTGGTGATCATGCTGGGTTACTTCATCTTCTTGTTATAACCCATGAGAAAGAGAAGTAAGTGATTCTTTTATCTCATACTTATAATGAACACAATGCAATTAGAGAATTTGTTTTTGTAGGAAATGATATAAAGTTTAAAACATTGCAAAAATAGCAGAATCTTCTTAAGACTGGGTCCACTTGCATTGCAGGGTCACTGGTCTCAAAATTGAGCTCTTGGGAGAAACTTCTATTGCATCTACAATATCATATCTTGATAATGCAGTTGTCTATATAGGCTCAAGCTATGGAGATTCACAGGTAGATATTAGTTTTATTTTCACGTTCAAATAATAATCATTTGGAGCTATTATTTTTTTTATATTAGTACACTGTTACTATTGTTTTATTTGAGAGAATCAGTGTAGCTAGGGCTTTTTGACTATTTTTATTGAACACGGACACCATGCATGTCAATCTACACAAAATTGGTGGAAATCAGATAGGGAACAATGAAAAATAGAAGTTACTGTTATTTGACTGGCTTTGATGGCAGAGGGGAGGTTAGAGGGATATAGCAAGGGATTATGCCCCGTCTTCCTTGTTGCTGAGAGCTTAAGGGATTTTTTTTCTTATTTTTTTTCTCCTTTTGGAAGCTTAACACTGTAAACATATTTTCTTTTATTTTATAAAACTTGAACAATTTGAATCCAAATCATCAATGAAATGTAGGTCCATGACTGCAGAATGTGGATCATCTTTGTTTTGCACCTGTGTATGGAAAAGTAATTTGGATATGTTGGTTTACATTTTTTCCTTTTGCTTTGCTACTATTTTGCTAAGACTTTGTTGTTTGTTGTTTGTTGTTGCCGTTGCTGCTTTGCTATTATTTTAACTTCATTGCATCATTGGAATATGAACAACACATAATGGTGACTTGCAGCTAATAAAGCTAAATCTACAACCTGATGCAAAAGGTTCATATGTTGAAGTGTTGGAGAGTTATGTAAATTTGGGACCAATTGTTGACTTCTGTGTGGTGGACCTTGAGAGGCAAGGCCAAGGTCAGGTTGTGACTTGTTCCGGAGCATATAAGGATGGTTCTCTTCGCATTGTTCGAAATGGAATAGGAATCAATGAACAGGTTGCCTTATTTGAAAAAGTTCTATCAGTAACCTTAGTTTATATTTTTTTTGGAAAAGTATTGACCACCACGTGTAATGTAGGCATCTGTAGAGCTTCAAGGAATCAAGGGGATGTGGTCATTAAGATCTTCCACCGATGATCCATTTGACACCTTCCTGGTGGTTAGTTTCATTAGTGAGACTCGAATTTTGGCAATGAACATGGAAGATGAGTTGGAAGAAACTGAAATAGAGGGTTTCTTTTCACAAGTGCAGACTTTGTTCTGCCATTATGCTGTCTACAACCAGCTTGTGCAAGTATGTTCACCTATTCTTAAATGCATAAACTTTTGCCAGTAATTCCTATGATTATTAGTGCACTCAGCAAATGAATACTTTATCTTCTGAAGATATTTTACCCTATGGAAGGAACTATTTATGTATCATTTATTAGTATTGTACTCATTATTGCTGACTGACTGGTTACCTGACAGGTCACTTCAAGCTCCGTAAGATTGGTCAGTTCTACAACAAGAGAGCTCCGGAATGAATGGAATGCTCCATCAGGTTATTCGATCAATGTTGCCACTGCTAATGCCACTCAGGTTTGCTCCCACAAATCATTGGCTGTCTTTGAAAGTTTGTCTTACCTGTATATTGAAAATGGTATCTACCATAAGCGGAATTGTTAATTGTACTGAGTAATTAGTAAATTACAAAAAAAGCCCTTAGGAAATTCTTTTTTTCCATAGGCTTCCAGGAACACGTTTATATCTAGAATACCTACATGCATCATAAATAAACTAATTAAACTATAAAGCCAAGTTGGATTAAGTTTTGGCGTTAACAATCTAAGAAGTGATTTAGGGGTGTCTATCGAAAGACTACATAGATTATAAAAAGTGTATAATCTTTGGGTAACAAAATGTTCAGATGATAGCTCGAGTTAATTTAGAACTTGAATATCATTTCACCCTGAAACTTCCCTTTGTTATTTTGAAATTTGAATGGAAATTGTGCCTATAATTACTTTTTATTCTGCGGTGGAGTAATTTGTTTTTGGAGCTTTGCAAGTTTCTCCTTTTGTATTTGTTCTCCATAGTTTGTACAAGTAGGGTTGAGAATTTGATTGTGATAAAAGATCACTTTGAAAAAACAAATATGAAATGATCCATTTTCAAATTAATAATTCGGGATAATGTGTAGTTTGTATCACTTTTCAATATGTTGAGATCCACTTGACACAGTTTGACGCGCTTAACACAGCATGTGTATGAGACATGCTCAGTTACTATATATTCCTCTCTTTAGTTTCTCTAGTTGACTTTTCTGGTTGCAAGTTTGGCGATCTTATTTACTATTTCATCTCCAGATTTAAATTTCCTTTTCTTTAGTTTGTACATCATACTGGTTAATGTCTATTCTCATGAACAATTGTCAAGAACATATGTTTAACTTGCGATGATGTTCTGTTTGGACATTGTTGTGGTTGACTTTCAGGTTCAGCAGGTTATAGAAATAAATTTTCTCAACATTCCACTGCTTATATGACAGGTTTTATTAGCTACTGGCGGCGGTCATTTAGTTTATCTGGAAATTGGTGATGGAACATTGACAGAGGTAAAACATGCTCAGTTGGAGTATGAGATATCATGCCTTGACATTAATCCTATAGGTGAAAATCCCAACAATAGTCAGCTGGCTGCAGTTGGAATGTGGACGGATATAAGTGTCAGGATATTTTCATTGCCTGACCTAAATCTCATAACAAAGGAGCATTTGGGAGGAGAGATAATACCTCGTTCTGTTCTTCTGTGTTCCTTTGAAGGGGTATGCTAATACTTGAGCTTTCTTCATTATCAGTCTTGCATTTTTGTCAATCTATTTCTTTGGGTGTACATTCTCCACATGTACAAAGAACTTTTATTTGCACTGGATATAATTAATGAGGCAAACAATTTTTTTTTTGGAAGTTTTAACTTTCGGGAAAGGACTTGCAGAAATTTGGTTATTACCATTACTTCATTCATTTGACCCTTGTGGAAAATATGTGGGCCAAATCAGATTGGAAAATCGGCATTTTGTTATGTTGTTTAGGTTTATCAATTTAAACTTTTTTTTTTTTTTTTGGAATTTTTATTTTGTGTAGGATCAGGAAAAAAAAAAATTCCAAATATGTATTACCCTAGTTAGTTGTTATTGCCCATCTCAGGCTTTGTTCTATTTATTAATATATCAAACGGTTTAAAAGTTTTCCTTTCAAATTTTTTTTCTACAAAAAGTATTTCTAAATTTATTTTTTTCCCATTTATACTATATTTTGCATTGCTATTAATTTGATTAGAGCAGATTTTGGAAACAAAAGATTCATATAACTGACCCCAACTAGTTTGAGACTTAGGCTCAGTTATTGTTGTTGTAGTACCACAAAAACTTCCTACTTGTTCTACCTGACCTGACAATTGTATTGGTTCATCACAAGTGCTCAATTTTAAAAATTTCTTGGAAGTTTTGAAGAATAACTAATACGATCATGTCATGTCAAGTGGAATGGTAGAGGCAGTAAAAAGTGGCATTTTAGTGTATTTTAATCTTCTAGTTTCTCATTCCTTTCTTTGACTGTTTCGTCTTTTTCAGATATCATACTTGTTATGTGCTCTTGGAGATGGTCATCTTTTAAACTTTCTATTGAATTTGAATACTGGGGAGTTAACAGATAGGAAAAAGGTGTCTTTAGGCACCCAACCTATAACACTCCGAACTTTCTCATCCAAGAATTCCATTCATGTATTCGCAGCATCAGATAGGCCAACTGTCATTTACAGCAGTAACAAGAAACTACTATATAGTAATGTGAATTTGAAAGAAGTTAGTCATATGTGTCCTTTCAACTCTGCTGCTTTCCCAGACAGGTAAATTTTCCCTAGCTTTCTTATACTACAGCAGTGAAGTGTATATTGGGATATTATTTCTATTTTTGTAGTTCTTTTATGTCTCTTCCTAAATCAATTACAATTTAAATGGCCACATTATTATAATATTGTTTTCCTGCTTCATGTATTTTACTGGGATTTAGCCACCGCGATGGGATGTTGTAATTTTTGGTAAAATAGGTTCTCGAGATTCTGCTTCACGTTGTATGCAAATGTGAATTGAATTCTCAACTTATCTACAGTGTTGGTGGTTAATTATCTTGTCTAACCCCTCAAATACCAAGCAACACACTGTCAATTCATGCCTTAACTATAAATATCTTCCCTTGAAGTAAGGGGTGGGGACAGGGGAGGGTGGTCCTATGAAGAAAAATAAGACACCTCAGAGGGGGGGGGGGGTGCAAATGTGAATTGATTCTCAACTTATTCTTACAGTGTGGTTTGCGTTAATTATATCTTTGTCTAACCCCTCAAATTACAAGCAACACACTGTCAATTTTCATGCCTTAACTATAAATATCTTCCCTTGAAGTAAGGGGTGGGGACAGGGGAGGGTGGTCCTTATGAAAGAAAAAATAAGGACACCTCAGAGGGGGGGGGGGGGGGGGGGGGGGGGGGGAGTGCATTGTTTGTTATCCAATCTGCCATGTGATTAGCCTTAGGATGGATATGACATCCTGAGACATTCCTATGACCCAAGCTGACAGTAAGACGCAAGTCTGTGTTATCTGCTGAAAATGAACAGTAGCCTGGCAGTGGAATGCTAATCTTGTTGTAATGCAGTGGTTGAGAGATAAAAAAACTGTCATTGAAAGTACTCTTTCTGACACTGATGAAGTAGATGGCAGCATAGTTGTCAAATCGGGAATCAAAATTTTTATTTTTAGAATCGAGAATCGAATCAAAATCTTAGGATTTAGTATAACAACTTTTCAAAATTAATTAAAAATAAATACATACATATTTATGGATATATTTCCATTAATTTTGTCAAAAGATACCAAAATTAATTGCAAGTAATATATTTATATAAATTTCAATTCTAAATCATTTACCAAACACAAAATGAGAGAGAATTTAATGACTTGTTTAGTTGTCAAGTTCAAAATATCAAACTATGAAGTTAAAATTTTAATATAAAACAAAGTAAAACTATCAAGCCATTATCCTATCCAAATCCATATTTATTCATTATCATTTCCAAATTCAAGCCCTTCGTTATCTTCATCATCTAATATAACTATATTCTCCTACTCATTTTTTTCTCTATATTGACTTTTCCACTGATTTTGTTGGGTAAGAGAATCGTTCGACATGAAAATCGACTCGAATCATAAGATTCAAGTCACATGAATTGTAAGATTCATGAGCAATATTGATTCACCCATAAGGTTCGAATCGTTTAGCATGAAAATTGAATCGAATCGTATGATCGTTATCATGAATCATAAGATTCTGATAATATTGGGTGGCAGGCAAATATATTTTGAGAACTATGAATTTATGATTCTTAACTAATTAGTGGCTCTTTTGCTAATGAGATGAGGATTTGGCATAGCATGAAAATTGAATCGAATCGTATGATCGTTATCATGAATCATAAGATTCTGATAATATTGGGTGGCAGGCAAATATATTTTGAGAACTATGAATTTATGATTCTTAACTAATTAGTGGCTCTTTTGCTAATGAGATGAGGATTTGGCACCTTCTATTATACTGTCTAGGATTTGTAATTGCACCGCAATTGCACTTAACTGTATAATTGCACTTAACTGTATAATCGAGGCATAAAGATATTGTAGTTTGTGGTTGGCCAGCAGATGGAAGCTCTTCCTGCTATTCTTATTATCATTTTGAAAAATAGTTTCTGTTCTTACCATTTTGTGGTCTATTGTTGAACAGCCTTGCAATTGCAAAAGAAGGTGAACTTACTATTGGCACCATTGATGATATTCAAAAGCTTCATATTCGGTCAATTCCACTGGGGGAACATGCAAGGCGCATCTGTCATCAGGAACAGTCTCGGACCTTTGCCGTTTGTAGTTTGAAACATCAATCTAATGCAGAAGAATCTGAGACACATTTTATTCGTCTGTTGGATGATCAAACCTTTGAATTCATATCAACATACCAACTTGACCCATTTGAGTATGGCTGCTCCATACTTAGCTGCTCCTTTTCTGATGATAACAATGTGTACTACTGTGTTGGGACTGCTTACGTTTTGCCAGAGGAAAATGAGCCAACTAAGGTAGAGACGCGTATATACCATTAATTTCCTTCTGAGTCAAAAAAAATGAGGTAAAGTTTTGTTGACTAACCAATCTATTTTCTGGTTTAGGGTCGAATTTTAGTTTTCATGGTTGAGGATGGGAAGTTGCAGCTTATTACTGAGAAGGAAACTAAGGGCGCTGTTTACTCTTTAAATGCTTTCAATGGCAAACTGCTTGCTGCTATCAATCAGAAAATCCAGTTATACAAGTGGATGCTTCGAGATGATGGTTCTCGTGAACTGCAGTCTGAATGTGGACACCATGGGCACATACTTGCCCTCTATGTACAAACTCGTGGGGATTTCATTGTTGTTGGCGATCTGATGAAGTCAATCTCCTTGCTAATCTACAAAGTAAGTAAAATTCCACTGAATGCAAATACGTCCTCCATTCTAACTTACCTAATAATTGGCATTGTTGTTGTGTCACAGCCAAACGTCGTGATTGTTCCAAAATTTCTCCGATTTTCTACAGAATTGCCTTGCTTTCCTAATTATGCGTCTGACGAAGTCTTTGAGCTGGCAATTTTGTTTTACCTATATAGCTACTATATTTCCTTGTTTAACATACTATTTTTCACCTGCCTTCAGCATGAGGAAGGAGCAATTGAGGAGCGGGCTCGTGATTATAATGCAAATTGGATGTCAGCCGTTGAGATTCTTGATGATGACATCTACCTGGGTGCAGAAAATAACTTCAACCTATTCACAGTTCGGAAGAACAGTGAAGGTGCCACTGATGAGGAACGAGGCCGACTTGAGGTTGTTGGTGAATATCATCTTGGAGAATTTGTGAATCGATTCCGACACGGTTCCCTTGTCATGCGCCTGCCAGATTCTGATGTGGGTCAAATCCCAACTGTTATTTTTGGTACTGTTAATGGTGTAATTGGAGTGATTGCATCACTTCCTCACGAGCAATATGTCTTTTTGGAGAAGCTCCAATCAAACTTAAGGAAGGTAATAAAAGGTGTTGGAGGGTTGAGCCATGAGCAATGGAGATCATTCAACAATGAGAAGAAAACTGTGGATGCCAAAAATTTCTTGGACGGAGACCTAATTGAATCATTCCTTGATCTCAGCCGCAGCCGGATGGATGAGATTTCCAAGGCAATGAATGTTTCAATAGAGGAGCTGTGCAAGAGAGTGGAAGAGTTGACAAGGCTGCATTGATATCAGTCTTGCCCAGTTTTTGCCTGTTGGTTTTTCGGTTCATTGTTTTGTTATTATTATCATTTTGTATCGCTTACACCATCACTTTTTTGTTCTGGTTTTGAGTGCAAGGTTTCCAAGTCAAAATGGTAACCTAACTTTGCAAGTGACTGGAAAATGCATGTGTAACATATTTATTTATTATAATATCATGTTTCAAAAGGTATTAGACCTCCAGTGTCAAATATGTACTAGTAAACCTGGGTCTAAATTCAGCTATATTTTTGTTAGGCTCAATACATAAATTTACTTTTTCATTTTTTTACGAAAATATTTTATGGTGCTTCCAATTTTTAATTTGATCTATTTAACAATTTAATTTATAAAATTGTATTTATTAAATATTTTAATTGATAAACACTTATTGGATAATTGAAAAAAAAAATGAAATATATGTATATAAAAATAAATATCGGTATTGAAAATATAATATTTAATCATATGGTAACTTTTTAACAGACTTTTAGCATTGGCCGGTCAAAACACATTATTTTTTTACGGTGTTTGGTAACGTTTTATAAAATAGTAACGTTAAAGTAATGTTTTATAAAAAATTAACACGGTTTAATGAAAAGTCATTCAAACATGTAATAAAAAAATTTTAACACGGTTTAATGAAAAGTCATCAAAACATGTTTAATAAAGTAAATGTTTATAAAAAAATTTACAGCGGTTTAATTGAAAAGTCATTTTCAAAACATGTAATAGGCTATTGTAAAGCAAAAAAAACTAAAAAAAAATTTAATTTTGCCTAATTTAATAACAAAATAGCAGTTAATTTTAACTTAACAAACCCAGAGTGTGCACGCCCAAAATTACTTCTTGCCTATAGTGCTTTCTTGGCCATATTTTATGCTTATATGGAATCCGAGAAGGCTTTCTTAGGCTGGCCCCAAATTGCTCTCACGAAGGCTTAGTGTGTTCTGCTTCCTTAAGCCTCATTTGGCTTAGTAAGGCTCTACTTCTCCCTGGGCTGAAATTTCTATTGTTTTTAATGAAAAGTCATTCAAACATGTAATAAAGTAATGTTTTATAAAAAATTAACAGGGTTTAATGAAAAGTCATTCAAACATGTAATAGCTGTAAAAGCAACTAATTTAATTTTGCCTAATAATCAAAATAGATAATTTTACTTAACAAACCCAGAGTGTGCACGCCCAAATTACTTCTTGCCTATAGTGCTTCTTGGACCATATTATGCTTGATATGGAATCCCAGAAGGCTTTCTTAGGCTGGCCCAAATTGCTCTCACGAAGGCTTAGTTGTTCTGCTTCCTTAAGCCTCATTTCGGCTTAGTAAGCTCTACTTCTCCCTGGGCTGAAATTCTATTTTGGGCCCGAGTTAAAAAAAACAATTAAAAAATGGAAAAGCCAGAGAGAAAACCAAAAAAAAAAAAAACCAAAAATACAAAAAGTCACCACCTGCTCCCGTATAAGATCAGCTTCTAATTGTCAAAGTCTTATCCCTTCTTTTGCTTAAATTGTTGCTTGAAACAATCATATGTGAGTATTTTTATTCCCTTCTTAATTACAATCCAACACATATTAAATTTGTGATCTAAAATTTCTGTTCTTCATTTGCAGCTTTATGGCAGATTCTGGTGACTATCCTCTCTACAGCTGCAGAAATTGCAGAAATGCTCTTGCCTTCCACTCTGATCTTATTTCTAAATCTTTTGTGGTCACTTACTTTTCCTTAATTCTAATTTATTTATTTAATTAATTATATTATATTATATCTTTTAAATTGTGATCTCATGTGCAGGCAAAATCAGGGCAAGCATATATGTTCTCTCATGTGAAGAATGTTATTTTGGGTAGAAAACAAGATAAGCAGTTGATTACTGGACTCTTCACTATTGCTGATATTTACTGTAGCGTTTGTGGAGAGGAATTGGGTTGGAAATATGTTAGAGCTTTTGATCTTAAACAAAGGTACAAGGAAGGTCATTTTATTGTTGAAAAATTGAAGATTTTTGAGGAATACTAGACCTCCTGCATCTCGTAATAATGAAAAACTTATCCAGATCATATCTATAATCTGCTTATAAACAAAATAATGAAATTAAAAATTTTTATTGAAAAAATACAGTAAAAAAAAAAAATAAATTATGAATATTAAGGAATCCTCCGTTTTATTAAGATTGGTTAAGATTCCATAAGTAAACTTGTTTGTAACTTGGAATTGGATGTTTGTAATAATAATTGTTTCGTTCTTTTTTTTAAGGGGAAGATAAGATTTGAAGGTTGTACTGGGTTTTGCTTTGGAATTGGAAATTATATTTTTGAAATAATCTTTATTTTTATTTTTTGTTTATAAGGAATCTAAATATATTCATATTTTAAATAATTTAAACTTTTATTAAAATGATATATTTATTGTATTTTGGTAAAAATATAATAAATAAGTTATCCCACATAAATTATGAAAAATCTAGTCATAGGGTGATTCAATTTAATATTTGCCAGAGCTGGATAAATACAATCCTCAATAAAGTGAATAAATTATATTTGATATCATTCTTCACAGCTTATAACATTAAAATAAATTTTTAAAGAAAGTTCATTTAAATTTTTATTTATTAAATAACTGTGTAGAATTTGTTGGCATTTTTGGTTGAAATCCAATAAATTTTATTCTAAAATTTGTTTTCTTATGTATAATTATATAGAATTTATTATTCATTTCATAAAAATTTAATTAATTAAATAAAATATAAAAGAAAAAAAAATCATATTCTACACTATAAATAAAATTGTTTTTCATTCTCTAATAAACAACATGCCATAGCAGAATAAGCTGCAAAAATATATTCTATCTTGCACTGATTTATGGGTTTATTGGGCTTTTCTTCTTGCGATATAGGCCCACAACACTTTAACCCAAAAGTCTACAAAACCGAAGCAAAGAATTTTTCTTTCCATTCGATTTTCATTCAGCGCAAATTTTAAATTTAATAAAATAAATCGAATCAAATGCAATTAATTTGACTATACATTATTCAATTCGATTCGGTTTACATTTTAAAATTTTCTATTATTCAGTAAATATTAGTTCGATTTAATTTTAAATCGAACTGATCTAACTCTAAATTATATTTTACATTGAAAAGTGATCGTTCATATAAATTAAATTAAATCGAACTGCTCTAATCCTTAACTTATATTTTTCGTTGCAAAGTCATCCTTCGTATATATAACAAAAATGCTGGCATATGAAATGAGCTAGATTAGCAAACTGTAGCCCCCACCTTAAAATATCAATGAAAGCTGAAAAGGGTTAGACATTAGTATTTATTTGACTGAATAAACTGCATTTGGTTGACTTATCAATTCCAAATTTTGTACCTATAATGCAAGTTGAGTCATTTTATATTATTAAATTTTATAATCTGATAATTTGATTAATTGAATCTGACTGCTTAATCTATAAAAAATAAATTTTGATTGTTGAATTTTCTTGAAGAAAAGCATAAGCATTATTTCATTTTCACCAACATCAACCCATCTTGGATTTATTACATTATTAGTATCCCACGTTATGTTTCGTTATGTAAATTGAATTAGAAATATATTTATTACATATATTATATTTCATTACAATTTACTAAATATAATCTTATAAATGACGAAATATTTTCCTTTATATATATAGTTGTGACATCAAAATGTAAATTTTGATAAATTAGTTAAAAAGAAAGTTAACTTGCTAATATTGATGGTCCGATTAATATATCGATTCAATTATTAAAAATACCCTAAACTTTGCGGGTAGTTTTAATTGTACTATAAAACCAATTTTCTTCTCTTATTATTTTGAATCTCAATTTTAGTTATAATAGCACACTAATTTCAAATTGTATCTAATCTAATAAAAAAAATATTATTTTCATTAAAACTCTACTCTCTCTTATAATCGGATTAATAAAAATTCATTGTTTAACAACGTTCTAACTAATATTGGTTTAGAATTTAAATTCGTGAAGAGCCAAGTAGAATAATAACTTTTAAGTTAATTGTAATTGTCCTTTTTTAAGTATGAAATTTTGTTTATACCCAGGTTGAATCTCTTATAAAAATAGATTTTATTTATTACGGCGTCATTTTATTTTTAGAGAATCATTTCTTGTTGTCAATATTATATAAATAAATAAAAGTATTTTTATTTTAAAGATGAATAGATTATTTTTTATTTTAATATTTATATAAACACATATAAATATTTATTTGTTTATAAGTGGTGGCAAGAATAAGTCTAATTTAGTGGAAAAGGTTAAAGTGGATCTATAAACATAATATTTTATTCATTAAATTTGGTGTAATTTAAAATTATGATGCTATTGTACCTAAAATCAAAGTTTAGGGTACTAGAAAAAGAAAGTTAAAAATTTAAGATATAATTAAAAGTACTCACGAAATTTAAGATTTTTTTAATAATTTAGCCTAATATATCACACATGCGTCGTGAATTTCATTTATTAAAATTAGGGTTTAGCATTGTTTGAAAAATTAGGGTTTAATACTATTCGAAACGTTCTAATAACAGTATTTTGAATGTACTAATTTAATGCGTTAAGATCATTTGAAAAGGAGATTTAATTTAAATGAATAGAAACATAATTTCAACTTGTATGCATAAGGTTAGAGAATCAACAAAGGAAACAAAGACGAAGAATATGTTCTTCTCAAACTTGCAATAATAGAATAACCGGGAGACTGATTTGTGGTTCTTATGTACACACCTATAATATTATAGGTCGAATTGAGTCAATTTGATCCGTTTTGCTTTGCTATTTTATGTAATTAATTTTATTAAAAAAAATTAAACTTTTTCAATTCATTCCAATTTTATCTAAAAACTATATAAGCTTAAATACATTTAAAAAAATTAAAAATTAAATCAAACTAAAATAAACCAGTTTGGTTCTACTATATCATTTTCGATTTGATTTATATCTAAAAAATAAATAAATTTATTCAATTTATATTGATAGGAGACAATCAAGTGTGGTCTAATTAGTATTTTTATTTACACGAGAAATAAGAAATTTCGAATTCAAGTAATTTCGATTATAAATGTTTTCATCAATTTAGTAAATTCAATTTAAAAGACTATATAGAACACGCTATTTCAGCGTATCAGAAAAAAAAAATTATATTGATCGGATCTATACCGACCTAACCGAATGGTTGCAGAGACGGAGAGACTCTCTTTGAAATGAAAGGACAACCACGTGAAATTAAGAACAGTGGACAAAGTAGATAATGTTGTGGAATTTGAAGTAGTAATTGAGAAGCTTTTCGTTGGTATTGATGCATAAAAGTTAGAAACCTTTCACATTTCAAACACAAATTGACAAAATTCTCATCACCAATTTCATACCCAAACAGACAAAGACAAACATATCTCTGTCCCTCTCATTTTCAAATACTGCAAAAGCATTAAGCTCCCCACATTTTTGAGATTCTCAATCGAATCCCACCCTGACTTTTCTTAATTACATCTGTCTTTTGATATTTTCACCACGTGTCAGACCCGTAACTATTTTCATGGTTCACAGTAAATTCGATTAATTTCTACTATTTTTTGAGGCAAACGGATTGGCTAATTACACCACTCTTAAATTTATCATATTGTGCCTCTTAAAGAAAAACTTATTGTGCTAATAAGATTTTACTATATGGTTAAATTTGAAGTTCTAAATTCAAAGATTCAATGAATTAAAGTTATACTGTGCACTACGTAACCGTGAGCAGCCATCTCTTTAAACAACGTTCACCAAATCTATGATAACATTAACTTGATAATAATACTTATAGTAGAAGAGACTCAAATTTAATATTTCTTGCTTTCTATTTCATCTATAAGACATAAAGAAAACCAATCAAATAATATGTGTTAAGTTAGAATTGTATTTATGATTTTTATCCTGATAGGTTTAGGTCTCTTTTGGGTTTGTTGTTCAAAATAAGATGGGAATAAAAAAAATTCCTCCATCTTCTGTTCATTTGTTCCTTTTAAATAAATTCATATTTATTTTTCTATAATAAATGATTTATATTCGCAATAAGTATAATCTTTGATTCATATCAATGGTGTCTGATAATGTAACATGTTTCTTCGTGTTTCTCCGTTACGCATAATGACCGTAACTCATTTATGTGTCCATATGCAATATGTTACTAGAAAAACAATTTAGTATATAAAAATTTAGAGAAATTATTTTATCGTTTAAATTAAATAAAGCATTAGTGACTACTAGAAAAATTTATGTCTTTGATTAAATCATCCTCAAACAAAAAAAAAAAGGCGATATCGGTTAGTTTTACTATATATTATTTGTAATGCTTGAAATTTTGATATCATTTGAATTTATATTTCTAAAAAAAGTAAAGATAAAATAACAAATAATCAATAAAATTATAAAAAAAAATAAGAAAAATAGTGTTTTACTTGCATTTCTAAAATTTGGTTGATTGTGAAACTTCATATCATACAGTAATGGATCATTCCACAAGTTTCGCGGTACCAAATTCACTTTCTCAAATTCACATTTCAAATTCTATATATAAATATTAGTTTTCTGTGCCTTTCATTCATTTAACAAGTAAACTTTACCATTACAAATCTCAACTACTAATGCTGCGACACTTTCCTGCTCTTCATTCCTACAATTCTTAACTGACATTCAACTATATATTTTATGTATAAAATAAATTATTTTTTATTTTAATAATCAAACTATTCCTTTTTAATTTTTTTTTATTTTATAATAATCATAACTAATCAAGTGAATTATTTAAAGCGAAACAGTATGGTATGACTTTGAATAATTTTTCATTTCAATTTTATTTAGCTTGCGTACATTATATAATAACTTAATGGTAAGTGTATATTAGACATAACAATAAATTGAAGTTTGAATCTTCCTTCGCCAATACTCACATATATATAGAAAAAGATATATATGCAATTTCGTCATTCTCATTTTAGATTATTATTATTATTATTATTAAGTATAAACTACTAAGAGTGAGCTTACGGTATATTCAGTTGTAAAAAATGTAAAATTGATTTTTTCATAAGTGAAATTCAGAAGTAAAATCGAACTAAATTAGTATCTGAATTGAATCAACTTGAATTGAACCAATCATTTTGATTGATTCTTACTATATAATTTGTTTTTATGTCTAAAAAATTAATTTCTATTAAAATCTAACAGAGTTTTAATTCAATACATTTCTTAAATTAATTTTAATATTTTAATTTCATTTTTGATTTAATTTATTAAGA